AGAAACTTTTCTGTAACTTAAATGTTTATCTATTAATATTGACAGATTTCTTTCATTTACTACAGCAGAATTTCTTTATCATGTAGAAAACAGAAAAAGAAGTTGAAATTGCACTTTTTTCATATTCATTTGGATTACATGTATATTTCATAGTGCTGTCAGCACGCTAAACGCGTTAACGTGGTCATCATGATTAATGCGATTAAAACTTTTAACTCTCTCAACCCGTCTGGAGTGCAGAATGGACAAACTTTGGACAAATTGCCCGAAATGCGTTGACAGCGACATTCCAGGGATTTTGAGACAGTCTGCGCTCCAGATGAGTTAATTGTTATTCGTGTTAGTCATGATGACGGCGTTAAGCTGCCTTAACGCATTAATGCAGAGTAAACCCCACACAGACTAATCTGCGTTAACTCGTTAATGGGGATTTGCCAATTTTGCGCTGACAGCTGTAATATTTAAACATCTTTACAGATATTCGAGTTTTGCTGGTTTCGTCAACTTAGGATCAAAGTGGGTTATATATGGCCCACGATGTAAAAAGGCATCCAGACAATCCAGATGTCTGCAAGGCCAATAGTACAACACTCTATGGTATGCAAACCAAAACACTAAATGTTTATTATTCAAACTTTTGGGTTCAGATGAAAAAAAAAATTTGAACAGCCAGCAGGTGGAGCCTCCGTCCTCACGAAGGAACAAGTTAATTATATCTGCTCTCATTTACATCATTCAGGTCAAGGAACTTTAAAAATAAGCAAGAAGTGAAACAGAAACAAAGTGTTTCAAGGTTTGATGTGCTGTGTTCATGGATGCTCTTCTGCATACCTTGGTTCTAACAAGTGGTTATTTGAGCTACGGTTGCCTTCCTATCAGCTTCAAGGAGTCTGGCCGTTCTCCTCTTTCATAATACTTTATTGATCCCTAGGGGAAATTATTATTATTATTGTTATTGTTATTATTATTGTTATTATTATTAATGAACAGGGGAACAGCTGTTCCTAATAAAGTGCCAGTGACTGTATATAGAACATTGTCTTTACACAATTTGAGTCCGTTGTTACATTTTAGTTTGTACACGAACTTTTGTCTTGCCCTAAATTACCAACACAGTGTATTTAAATGGCTTTTGTCTCATGAAGTACTCGAAGTACTGCCATCAAAAACTCATTCAACTGATGAATTTTTTGTTCCTATCAGCACCAATTATACTGTGTGGCCTTTATTGATCTTTGTCCATTCATTGCAGGAAGAGTTTCCGGAGTCTGGAGCAGCTCTCTGCAGACATGAGCATTTCCCAGAATTCTCTCGAACCGTCCCACATGCTGAGTCTGGAGGCCAGGTCGGCCAACTCAAAGTGGACTCACCAAGGTACGTCTGCACCTGGTAGCAAGCACTGCTGTCTGCGAAGCTTTCCATCGCTGGTGTGAACATTTACTGTACGTCTTGTCATCCAGGCAAAGAAGAAACGCCTTCTCTAAGAGGTCTGTGTGGCTCCCTGACCTCAGTCACCAGCTACAAGTCTCTGGCCAGCCTGAGGTCGAATGAATGTTTGGCCAGTCCTACAACAGAGGTCAGCAGCCCAGGTTTCACTCCTTCATAGGGAATGAAGAGTTAAAAACGCCTTTTGGCCAGGGCCAGATAATCCAGGAACCTTCTCCGTGTTGGAAATTGTTTGTAGAGGTTTATGTTATGTATGTGGAACTTGAGGATCTGGTGTAGCATGATCTTAACCAGCTCCATCAGTCTGAATGACGTCTTAATAATGTTCCACACCGATGAAATGACAGCGGATCTTCAAATGGAACTTTATCAGTATGTGTTCAGTGTTTAGTTTTGTTTGTTTTTATCTGTGGAGCATTGTTGATTTCTATTTTACGAAGTATTAGTCTGAATTATGTCACTTTACAGCCCAGAGGGGGCAGTGAAAAGGCTGCGCCTCTCTTAGGCTCTATAGATTATACCATACTGAAAATGCTGACTAGGTCAGAGGTCTGAGGGGGAAAAATGAAAGACTACAAACCAGAGTGTCACTGAATTGTTTTCTGTTGATAAAGGGATGTATTCATATTTTTGGTTCTGTTGGTGGTGCCATAAATCACCCTTTTCTTCTATTTGTGATGGTTAATGTGCCTGTTTTGTCTCAGTACGTCATCAGTGTTTGGGATGAGGCAATCTTTGTTGTCGGGTGTAGATGTTTTTCTTCAGTTTTTCATCAGCCTTATGTTGCCACTGTTGTGTATCAAGCAGTATCACATGGTTTTGTTCTCAGGTAAGGATCACTATGAGTAATAACCACCCCAAATTTCTGGGTTTTATTTTAAAGTTGAGCTTTAGTCCCTTTAATTATTAAAATGCAGTATTTCACTGTAATGGCTGGTTACCGTGGATAGATTATTGTTTAAAGTCTGTGTTGCGATTCAGTATGAATACAATTTGTATTGTTGGTAACTAAGCCGTGTACCTCAACACTAGACTCATTACTTTTTGCCTTCACCTCGTTCCAGCGGTCGTTTGCACAGACATACAGCAGATGTTTTACTGGATTTACCTTGTTATTCTTTATTTGAATAAACTCTACTGAAACACCGACAACTTGATGGTGACATTTGAGTTTCTTGTCAACAGCAACAGGTGTGAGAAAAAGGTAATTGGGTATAGAAAATGACACATTTTCATATAGTATAATCTGAATAATGCTATTTTATTTACACTCACGCTGTAGTGGCACTCTACTGTGCAAAATCAAGGAGACATTTTAGGGATTCTCACAACACAGAGGAGTAAAATGGAGACAAATCTTGTGTCTCCAATTTAAGGAGTTCAGGCACAGAGCACATGATCTCAGTGAGATACATGGAAAATATATTACTAATAAAAAGTCTTTCTTTGATATACTAGCTCCTAAACACGTCTGAAATGAACAAGGTGTAGATGAAAAATATTTATTTCCAACTTCACACAGAATCTACTGCATTCAACAAAAACAATGTAAAAATTAATATGAATAAATATGAATAAATTCATATCGATTCTGATCATCTTTAATATTTTACAATGCAGGAAGACAGACAGTTGTTTTTTAAACCCCATTTCTGCTAATGTTTTAAATTTTGGCAACATTAACTTTATCATGCTAAAGATCTGCACCGCAAAATAGGACATCTGGCTCATCCAGACAACTTTAGGAGTAACACTGTGCAACTTCTTGATTGTCTTGCACTATGAAAGGAGAATATGGATTCACCTCAATGAATTAACTGCTCAGGCCCCAATAAATCTATCTAAAAAAATACCATCCTTTCCTTGATCTCATGGAGCTCGTTGTGTGGAAAGTGAAATCTCTATATACAAACAGACAAGGAGTCCTAAAGCCCCGAGGCTACTTGTTCACCTTATATACACGTCTTAATTATTGTTAAAGTATAATTTAACATCATTCCAACCCCTGACTTTGCTCAATAACCTCAAGTTAAATCTACGTGGTTTGATAGTACAACCCTCAGGTGCGGTCTAGCAGTAGCTGTCGTGGCGTGCGTCGTTCTTCCAAGGGAAATCTGTCAGGGGTTGGTCTGCAGTGGTCCATGTGTCCTCTCTTTGTTGCGTTTCCTGAAAAAGGCCTTTCCAAACTCATAACTGCTGATCATGATGGCACAGGCTGGAGCCACTTTTATCACCCTGGGGAGAAAACCTGATAGAGAAACCACAGATATGAGAAGAGTTTATATACAGTCTAAACAGAATGTATGCACTCTTTCAGTAATAAGGTTTCATGTATCAGGACATGAAAACAATCGGGCCCTTAGCAAGTCTTAAAATAAAGGTCAATACAACCTTAAGACGAACTATAAGACAGGATATATGTATGTATTTAAGCTAAAGCACAGAAGCAGGGTTAAAAAGTAAGCACACACTTAAACTCCTAATTTCTATGGAAGCTGTAAGTAGCAGCTAAGTGCTACTAATCAAATGAAGTTTTTCAGCTGATCAGTAAGTGTGAGCACCTCTAAAAGACCAGTTGGTCTCAAGTATTCACGTGTGTTCACACAGTGTCAACGAAAAAGCTGCTTCTCTCTAAAAAGAGAGAGGAGGCAGCATAACTTGCATACATCTGAAAAAAACGCAAGACAGACGAGACCAAACTGGACATGTTTGGCTATAACGCATAATCCCACATCTGGCCAAAAGTCACAAACAGCATGTCAGCACAACTGTGTCATAGTGACTGTCGAGTACAGTGGTGGGGCGGTCATGATGAGGGCTTGTTTTGCAGCCACAGAACCTGAGCACCTGCAATCATTAAATCAACCATGAAATCCTGTGTATACCACAATGTTCTTAGCTGAAATAGGGTCATGCAACAGGACGACTGAACCTAAGAACAGCAGCAAATCTACAACGAAATGGCTGAAAAAGAAGTCAAAGTCCAGACCGTAAACTGACTGAAATGTGGTGGAGCGACCTGAACAGAGCTGTGCATAAGCAAATGTTCGTAAAGCTCATTTAATGGAAACAGCATTGTAAAGAAGAGTGGGCCAAAATGTATTTAAAGTCATACAGGAAATTATTACTTCATGTTACAGCAGCTAAAGGTGTTTCTACAAGGTACTAAACAGCAATATGGTATGTATGTAATATGCTGTTAATCTGAGGTTGTATTTACCAAATGTAAAGGTTGTCAAGAAGTGAAAAACTTTCATCATGTCCTGAAATGTAACGCTTTAGATTTGAAAGAGGGTGCAGGTTGTTTTTACAGCGAGTGTTTGTGACTACCTCAGACTCGCCACTCACTGAGTCAAGGGTCAGTGAAGTACTTACCTGCAAACAGCCCTCTAAACCCGTTTTCTGCCACAATTCTGCACATCACATAGAAGGTGGAGGAGCCCTGACCTGGCACTGCAAACACAAGAGCACCAATTAGCAACAAACAGCATCATCCAACCAAAAACAGAGCACAAGAAATGTGGGTTTAACAATAAAAGGCAGCAGCTTTGCCTCACATATTCCATCACATCCTTACAGATGAGCTGAGAAATATCTTCATCACTATGTTCATCTGAAGCTGTTACACTCTCTAAACTCCTCTGAGTTAGAATTGTTTAGGAAAGTCGTATTCTACACTGTGAGTGGATATTCTGCTAACCGTCTTCATTGAGACCGTTTGATGTTTACACCGAGTGGTGCACGGTGGCTTAATGGTGTTTTTAAGGAGCACATGCAGGAGGGCCTGTATCTCACTCAGCAGTCTTTAAAGGGCAAGGCTTTGAAAAGAGGAGTGGGGTCTGAAAAAGGAGAGAAGGGGTTCGTCTACAAACAGCTGGAGCAGCCATCACCATCATCCACAGAGGAGGAAGCACACACTTGAGGTACTTATTCGTGTTGCTTATCAGCACTGAGAAGGTTTAAGTGCTCTACAGGGCTTGACTTGAGATGCTTGTCGACTGTCACATGAAAGTGTTGTGGCCTCTTAACAGAATGAGGAAGCCTTTTTGATGAGAAGTAAAATGTTTTAAAGCTCATTGTTGCTTTTATTTAACTCTGCAGACTTGGGTTATTTACCATGCCAACACAAGTATGAACATATAGCATCAACATAACCTCCCCAAGCGCTGCAGATGTACATTTACAATCTTCAGAAGCTTTAATTTAAAAGAAATTAAGCATATTTACAGTTCTTTGCTTGCAGCTCTCCAAGCTCCACCTGTTTTCTTGTTTTGACGACATCAAAAGGCAAAGTTACAATAGATGCAATCTGAAAGAAATGACAAAAATGAAATAAGAAATGATACGCTGTAGTTTACTTCTGTTTTTTTGCTATCAAATATGTTTATCTGCAGGCTGGAAGTTGAATTCTGTGCAGTTTTAGATGAAAAATTAACTTACAGATCCTGAAACAGCTCCAGATACAAAGGTGATGGTCAGCGTGGGTTCTGTGATGTTAGACAAGCCACACAGCCAGCTCTTGCCCATCTCGTAGTTGTACCAGTACATGGCCGAGAAGGGAACGTCTCGGAGAAGCGTGGGCCCCCAACCCCTCCACAGAGACAGCCAGCCCTCTTTGGCCACTGCTGAGCGGATGCACTGGGTCAGCTCCCTGTACGACTGCTTCTGAGACTGCAGTTTAGTGCGGATCAACTCCAGAGGACTGATCACCGTCACCGAACCCACTTTCACACAGAGGAGGAAGACAAAGCAGTTCATGAAGTGATATGTTAGTGAAAGTAACATACTGCTGTGGCACTTTTAATGATTGAGCCTCTTTTTTTCTACTTTAATAATCACTTACAGGCCTGTAAGTTAGACTAAAAATAACACTAACATTTTCTAAATAAAATCTAGCTTGTTGGATAAAATCAGGAAGTCAAGGCCACGGTGCAGAAGGTAAGGGTGGCTGGCCTTGAAACCCCCAACATTGTTAAAATGCTGATGTCTGTTATTAGGCATTATATGGCCATTATTGTCAATATATGGCATATTTCAGTAGCAGTAAGACAGCAGTCAGCTCACCTCTAGCAGTAGCTCCTGCAAGGAGAGGAGCCACCTCAGCATATTCTCCCATCCTGACCCTCAGTGCTGCACAGAGCTGGTCGTAACATGTGAAGTAGATCACTGTCGCTGGGACTGCCATCACACTGGAGAAGGCACATAACAGAAAGCACATAACGGAAGGTACATAAATCATGCCTTAGTTATAAAATTTTCTAAGCAGGTAAAAGACAGCCACAAAAATGCATCTAAATTTAAAAACTGTGAAGAAAGTTCTGTTTAATGATGCGTAACATAAATAAATATTTGGTTATGATCATTGAAGAATCATTGTGAAATACCACATCAAAGGAAAACACTCTGCTGTAATCACTACTGACCCACCACAGCTCAATAACTCAGTATTAAAAGGAGGGGAGGCGCCCAATCAGGAAATAGAAAAAAATAGACTTTACACTCACAGTGTTGGAGGCAGACCGCTCCATAATGACCTGATTCCCTCACGCCGTACTATGTTGACAAATGCATCCTGCAGAGATTCAGAGTTAGGAGTCAGTGAAGGGTGATGTGCTCTGTGGCACTCAGAGGTTTTGTACTACAACACCTCTGCTAAATACAAGCAGGAAAAGTTCAATCAGCCACTAAAGCTAAGTTTAGCTTGTCAGACTGCTAACTTTAAAACATTATACAGAACAAGAAGCTCACTCTCTGCACAGCATTTACTTTTAAGGGACCATTATTGGATTTTGCATATATTTTGTTTTCTGTTTCTTTTCTAAAATGTACTTTAAGAAGTTTGTAGTGCAGTAAAATCCACAGATGTATAATTTGATTATGCATCCATTCTGAAAGAGCAGGTAATGGATAATAGGTACTGATTTGTAAATAACTTCAGCTTATTATCTATTACACTGCAGTATATTTCTAACTAACTGGACAGCTCATTCTCTGATAATACTTTCTTTAAAGACATAATGCCTTTTGGAGTCAACTTGAAAGAAAGACAGATGTGAAATGTAAAAGTGAGGTTGGAGGTCAAATGTGCCATAATATTTAGATGAAATCTATAACGTGATATTTAGAACATGTACAATTTCTTAATTTTGCCAATAAAAACAAAAGCAGTGGAATTTAAAGCACAGTTTTACAGATAAATTACATTTTATGAAGATTAGACCTTATTTGATCTTGAGGAAAGGTTCATAGGTCCAAAGTAACCTGATATGTAAAATCTCCATTCCCAAAGCTCCCAAACAAAGGCAGCAGGAAACATAGTGGTAAATAGCTCTATAAAGCATTCTTCTCAATCTGCTGACCTTGAGTAGAGGTCAAAGGACAAATGTGACATTACATTTAAAATCTTTATACAAATAATATAATATTTATATTATATGTTCCCACTACACACCACACTTGTCACAAATTCTACGTTATAAGGCTTTTTGTCAATTTTCGACCATTAAATCATTAAGTTGACCTTAACGACCAAGGTCAACTTAATGAAGCAAGGCTTAATGAAGCAAGGCTTAATGAAGCAAGGCTACCGTGTTTACAGACAGAACGACACACAAATAGGGCTGTTCGATATAACGATATATATCGGATGACGATATAAAAATGTCTATCGTTTCATTTTACGCTATCATTTGTTTCGTGGTGTTGCAAAATAAACTGTTTACGGCAATATTTTTTCATCGTTTTGATGGTCACTATTCTGTCCCTCCTGTTATTTCTAAGGTATGTTTTTTATAAGTTTGTTACATGGCGGGTCATAATCATTCGTTCTGTAATTAACTGTTGCAACGTGTCAGAAAATATGTTTATTCCTGATCTTGTCTGGGCAAAGCCTGCCATCTAGTGGGTTGACAGGGTAGCGCCATGTTAGAGCGCAAGCAGTGGTTTTCTCCCAGCGCTAGACAGGGAAGGTCCATTTCTCTGTGTCTCTGTAATTTTCTGCATCTGGCGCCCTTGAAAAGGCATAATCTGTAAGTGTGGCAAAACGGTTTATTGTTCTCACTTATTAGTACCTTGTTCAGCAAAGTAATGAGTTTCTTGTGTGTTTAGTGAGTTTGTTACATTACTAGCATAAGCTAGCTGTTAGCCCTTTCTTTAGCCTGCTAACGTGAAGCATACCAGCATGTGGTGTTAGCTGTATCTCTTGACATGTGTTGATACTGAGATTGTGTAGTGACTGTTTACACAAGTCAACAATATTTAATGTAATCTTTGTGTATTTGTATGGAGAGTGAATACACTGTATTCTGTTTCTGTTATTACAGTTTTAAAAAAAGAAAAAGAAAAATAAGGATCAGTAAAGCTCTGAAGAATGCCACGCGGTCTCCTGAGTGTTTACTGAAGCCATTTAATGTTTAGCTCTCTGCATAAGCTGAATAGAGACATTCAGCTGAGGGCAGAAGAGTAAAAAGATTGTCCACGCATCAAGTGCACTGCCAGGATCCTGAGACACTCCACTCCAGCGACAGCAATCATGTCCAACCACGGAGACACCTCGCAGCTTTCACAGCTGGAAGTCAGGTTGGAATGCAGATCAGCAGCTTCACGCTGGTCAAACAGCTCAGCAGCAAGCCTTGCTGCAGCACAAACACAAGCTGAAGCCGAAGCTGCTCGAGCAAGAGCAGAATACGCCAAACGCCAAATAGACATGGAGGTCGAAAAGGCCCGGATGGAGGCAGCGCTAAATGCTCTGAAGCAGGAGGGAGAAGCAGAAGCAGCACTTGCCGCTGCGAGGGTCCTAGAGGCTGCAGTTCTGGACCAGGCAGAGTCTGTGAAGCCACCAGACATTCCTGCGGCTGTCAGTCGCACTCAAGTTTATGTAGATACCCACTTCCACAACAACACTAATATGGAAGGTGAGTCAAAACACAGTAGAGAGCAAAAATGTGACTTAGACAACACCCACACTACAGGGCCGGACATATCAGCAGCAGCTCCATGTGGGTACCCCCCCAGTTCTCCACCCGTTTGGCAGCCCAAACTTCCACCTCCCCATTGGGGAGGACCAGCCACACCACAACGACAAGCAGATGTATCAGACCTCGCTGCCCTCATCTCACGCCGTGACCTACTGACAGCAGGACTGACAGTGTTTGATAACAAGCCAGAGACTTATCTAGCATGGAGATCTATGTTTCACAATGCCACTGAAGATTTAAATCTAAAGTGCAGTGAAGAACTTGATCTGCTCACTAAGTGGCTTAGTGGGGAGTCTCTCCAGCATGCTCTGAGAATCAGGGCTGTCCATGTTAACAATCCAGAAACAGGTCTTCAGCGTTTATGGCAAAGGCTAGACAGGATTTATGGCTCATCGGAAGTTATTGACGCTTCTCTGTTCAAACGCCTGGAGAGCTTGCCCAGAGTTACTCTGAGAGACAATCACCTTCTTCAGGAACTTGCAGATCTCCTCCTGGAACTTGAAGCAGCAAAAAATGAAGGATATCTGCCAGGCCTCAGCTTTCTCGACACTCCAAGAGGCATAAACCCAATTGTGGAAAAACTCCCACATACCCTGCAAGAGTCATGGATCAAACAGGGGTCCAAGTATAAGAAAGAACACAGAGTGCACTATCCGCCTTTCTCCTACTTTGTTCAGTTCATGAATAACAATGCTGAAATGAAAACTGACCCCAGCTTCATTCTACAAAATTACAGCACTGGGCACATGAAGATAGAAAGGCCACTGGTGAGACAATCACATTTTAGAGCCCCGTTAACAGCAAACAAAACACAGGTTGGGACACCCAGCAACAAATCTAACACTCACTCTCTTGATCCCGACAAACAGTGTCCAGTACACATGAAGCCCCATTCACTTGCAAAATGTAGAGGGTTTAGGATGAAAACACTGGATGAGCGGAAAAGTCTGCAGAAGATAAGACGTTTCTGAACATTATGCACAAAGAGTTTGCTAAAGATGATGCAAATAACTGGGTCGCTCCCCTGCCCTTTCGTCATCCCCGACGTCGCTTACCCAACAACAGAGAGTAGGCTCTCAACCGCCTCATGTCCCTACGGTAAACACTAAAGAGAAAGACGGAGATGAAAGATCATTATGTGGCGTTTATGAAAAGGATCTTCGACAAAGGTCATGCAGAAAGGGCACCCCCTCTCAAACCCCACCAAGAATGCTGGTATCTCCCACACTTTGGTGTTTACCACCCCCAAAAGCCAGCAAAAATCAGAATAGTCTTCGATTCAAGCGCCCAGTTCGAAAATGTGTCTCTGAATCAAGTGCTGTGTAAAGGCCCAGATCTCAATAACAGCCTTGTGGGCGTGCTTCTCAGATTCCGAGGTGACCCACATGCTGTGATGGCCGACGTGGAGCAGATGTTTCAGAACTTCACGGTCAGAGAGGACCATTGTGATTATCTGCGTTTCCTGTGGTTCCGCGATCACGACCTGGATGGAGAAGTGGACGAGTTTCACATGACAGTCCATGTTTTTGGGAATTGCCCGTCCCCCTCAGTTGCTATCTAGGGACTCTAGAAAACTGCTGTGGAAGGAAAGAAAGAATATGGCAGTGATGTAAGGGAATTTATTGAGTGCCATTTTTATGTAGATGATGGGCTAAAGTCATTTCCCTCTGAGACCCAGGCGATCGACGTCCTTCACAGAACACAAAGGATGCTGGCTCAGTCTAACATCCGCCTTCACAAGATCTCATCCAACAGCCCTGTAGTCGTCAGTGCCTTC